CATTGGATTGGAATTCTGATCAAAATTCCTTCCTTGGGTAGCACATGTCACTTTGTCATGCAAAACTTCAGTAGTTGTTTTCTATGCTCTCCACTTTTGCTTTTAAGCAAAATAGATTTTGCTTTAAAATATTTTTTTTGCAAAGCAAAATGTATTTTGCTTTGATATTAGGCCTTAATTTCTATTTAATAATCTGTGACTTTTCACAATATTTAACTATATATTTTAATATTCATAAAGACATCTTAATTAGAAACTGAAGCATTATCAAAAATTTGGTTTTGTAACAGTATGGGAGAAGGGTTGTGCTTTATAACTGAACACCAAGTGGAAAACATATGACTTATTTTTCCTGCTTTGAAATCCAGCTAATTGCAGGGTCACTATGAATGATGTTGATTAAAATCTGTAGTTCTCAGTGAAATTCTTTCCTCCTCTATTTTTAGCGTTAATTTTCCATACCAGGATGAGGAACAAAGACTTGTAACATCAGCTGTTTATGCATATATTTTTCTCTAACAGTCTAATTGATATGTAGTCCCTTTTAACACAAGATTCCCATTACATACCCTCTTCTCTGGCTTTACTGATAAATACATTGCTAAAGAATTAAGATGTCCCATCTCAATTATTTCCCACAAAGTATTACTTGCTACTATGGATACTGTAAGGTTCATTTTTCTAGCACATCTTATTATTTAATTATTTTTCCTTACACTCTACGCTCACCCTCAAAATGCCCACCCTTGAAAACATGACAAAGATACAGTAGCAGTTATTCAGTTTGCCAGTTTTCGAATTGGGCCAAATAAGTATGTGCAAAACCCCAAACCTGCCTCACTTCAGAGACAAATCATTAAGGATGCGTGGAAAGCTCTGTTTGTCTCTCTAAGTTAATTGGTCCACGTTTCAATGGATGAAGAAAGAGACTGTTACATATCCATGAGCTTTGGGAAATAAACAAAGATAAAACCAAAACCCCTGAAACAACCTATACACAATTGCTCTGAAAATAAGATGCATAATAAATCTGCTTACCATAACAGTGACCTGCAGTCTATAAAACTTGCTTCACTGAGACTGCTTAAGACACTATAGTCAAAGACAAATGCAAAATTAATTGAGCCCTTGGACATTCAACCTGAGCCTGTAATAAACTTTCAGGCAATATTCTGCTTTTCATTCATACATACACACAATTAACATGCAAGCCTTCAGATTTTGGCCTCTGATTGCTGTGTCAGCAAGACTTGGAAACAAAAACAAACCCACACAATTTTGAGGAAACCAATACCGCTTATTTTGAGCGGTTAAATACCAAACCAGATGCAAAAGAAGGCACCAGTTTTAGATTTTTCAAATACTATTTGAAAATCTAATAGTAGCTGAGCTCCCCTTACACTTAAGTTTTAAAATGCAATTTCTGTGATCTCAGTGTAGCTGAAATGTTAACAAAGGCAGTCAACTTTGGTCAAGAGGGCTGTAGATCCTATAAAGACTGGGGTTTTTTTTTTTTTTGGTTAAGAGGAGAAAAAGGCCATAACCTGAAACGTGCAGCTAACTGGGACTGAACTAAGCCATCTGTCCCCCATACAGACCAGCGGGGGAAAAAAGGCATGCTGCATCTCATCAAATGGTACCACCGTTTTTCCTCACCCACAAGATGCCACTATGATAGAATTCACTCAGGCTCCTGTGAGAATTGCATCATGCTGCTTTTTCCAGAATGGGTATTTTCTCTGTGCTAATTAGACAGAGACAAGTTGGCATGTTTCTCCCATCTCCTAAGAGTTGGTCAGCATGACAAATCAGAAAGCAGTTAAGAAGTTTAGCATTAGCATCTGGGGTTTTTTTTTTGACAATTTCCAGAGCTGGAAATGAAGGAGAACCCAATTTGGGGAAAGCGTTTCCAGCAACATGGGACAAGATTTCAAAAAAAGAAAAGGAATAACCAACCAACCATGGTCTAGTAAACTTAGCAGGAATTAGGGAACAGCGCCATGTTCTTTTCTGTGAATTACCACCACATGGTTACCTGTAACTCAGCTGGAAACTAAGTTACTCATTAACCCAGCAATCCCTACTTCCATAAGAAAGCTTGTCCCAAAAGCTGCAAGCCAGGCTCCAATGCTTAATATAATACAGTAATGCACCATAGTTTTAGCACACTGGAAACATGATTACTAGCAAATGCATTAATGCATGTGCTCCTGGTAATGTCCAGAGAGAGACAAGACTTATACAAAAGCCTGAAACTTATGTTTGTGAAAAGAGACAACTTCAGAAAAGTACTAGTAGCAAGACAAGAAATACAACTCTGCCTCTGCTGTGTTTCAGTGTTAGCCCAAGGGAACAGGGAAGAATACCTCTGAGAGTGACCGTAATGGAAGCACGACCCTTTGCCTCTGACTTGACAGATGTCAGTAAATGCCAACTGTAGTTGTGGTCCAAGATAAACAGCCTTCCAGTTGTCTGCTTATTAACTATTGCACATCATTAGCTTGTTGCTACAGTAAGAACAGACCTGACAGTTCTTCTCTAAGAAACACTACTGTCAACAAGACTATACAAGCAATTTTTCTTTTAAAGAACTGGAGATGCAAACTCTGAGTCCCAAAAGCACACAAGTCTGCAGGAGTTAAAACACAGTATGCTATGTAGAGTTCATTGTTCTGGTACATTATTGTCATTGACAGTTTGAAAAAAAAATTACTCTCACCAGAATCTGACACACCAATTAAAAATCTGGAGTCTAAAAACAGTTTCAAGAGTTAGATTTCAGAGTCCTGCTTTCCAAAACAGGAGGTTTGTTGCATTGCACCACAGTCTGTGAAGGATATCTGGTACCGCATTTTGTACTCTGATTTCAGTCCATTCAGTCAAAATGACCAGTGTTAAAAACGTATGCTTTAATTTAAATCAATGTTTTATCCAGAAGAAGTCCTGCATTTAGATATTGAAAAATGAGGGAGCACAGTCCAACACTTGTGTTCTATTAAAGCTTTTATTAGCTATTTTAGCTTTTCCTCACAGACTTTTTCCAAAATTCCTGTAATAGTTCTTAATATCAGAATAAAGAGTTAAGTGTTCAAGTGAAGTTATAGAAGAGGGGGGGGAAGAAAAAAAAGCAGCAATTTGGCAATAATTCCTCAAACCATTGACTGCAACATTTTTAAGCCTCCTTTTTCTCCAGTAAGATTTTGTGCAACTCGTCTGCATCCTCACTTGTTTTCACTCGTATTAACATAGTGACAGGAACAGTTGGATTCTTCTCATCAATCGGTGGGTTAGGAACACAAACTATAAGAACATTGTTTTTTCCGGTTCTTGTGCATGGCATCTTGGGGGGAATTAGAACATTCAACAGTATGTTTCCTGCATTTGAGGGTGGGGAAAAAATAAAAATAAAAAAAATCAGCAAGTTTTCAGCTTTTACTGCAATAAAGATGTTAGTATACTTACTAAATAGTGATTTAAGTTTGTGAACAGAAGGAAGGCAATTCATAAGTGTTATATTTGTCTTACTCTTCCCTAAGCATCTGCTCATGGTCGTTGTTCTTACTAATTTCTCTCTTCATTAGGAATGAGGAATCTGTAAAAATCCTATGTCCTCCTTTCTTTAAAGGAGGAGCCTGAAGAATATCAAATGATAGCAGGAACAAGCAAGGAAGAAGGAAAGGGTCAAGGGAAAAGTAGCAAATGAGGAATCAACTCATGGAGCTTAGTTTATGCTTATGTAGGTTACTCAGTTTGAGCATTAAGTGTGGTCCACGAGCAGAAGCAAAAAGTTAGCTTTAATACACACCCAGACATGTTATTGTGAAACTGGACAAACTATGGTAGAATATGAATCTTGTATCCTTAAATCATACAGACACATCTGATGTGGTCTGCCACTGAATCATTAAGAGCTGCATGTCAACTTGTTAGATTATCTAGTAAATTTGAGATACTGAATATCAGCAGTCTCTTAAAACAGTTGCAAACTCACTCAAATCTGCTTCAACAGAAGGTGCACACATTTTGTACATCTGGTAAATAGTTCAGAACACAGTAGTAGTATTTAGGAAAAAGTCAGTCTTTGAACTGGAAAGGAAGGCAGTTTTTCAACACAGTGAGACTTTAGGAAAGCATTACAGCGCTGTGTGACGACAGCAAAAAGGAAAGCGTGCATCACTACGACTGTAGCTGCTTGTAGAAACCAATGCTTGGAAACACCAAGCTATAAGAAGCAGTTAAGTTGAAAATGTCTTAGAAAGCATATGAGCTGAAGAAAAATGAAAGATTTCTTAATACTTCAGCTGAGATGAAGGCAGAGGAAACGTAAATCCACATAATGGAAACTAGCATCAACTGAGCAAGAGTTCTGAGACTTCTGTTACAGGGTAGAGAACTTTGAGAAAGCAAGCTTTCATCTGCTCTATTCAACACGTTCAAGCCCCTAAAGCAACACTGAAAGGGATGACAGCTCTGCTATATGTCAGTCTCCAGTTCTGTTGCTTAACAAGAATTACCCGTTACCTGGCAAACCTCTTCTCAATTTAAAGAAATTACCAGTTTAAAAATGACCCAGGCGTCCCAATCTCACCAGACATTTGAAAACCTTCACCTAATGTGCATTAACAGCTTCATTTTTAGACTTGCCAGAGAGCTTGCTTTATAAGCCAAAACTGAGGTAAGCTTTACAGATGACCTATAGTACAGCATGCCTCTAGCTCTCATCTTTTATAAGCAAAATATTTCTTCTCATTTATGGAAGTTGTGAAGTGCATATAAGCTACAGATGCATATTTGTTGAAAGGAGGTGCTGAATTTGTAGCAAAGTTTGTCAAGAATGACTACTGAAACACTGATTTACACAGTTTTAGAGTTATAAACTGTTCTGACATTGAGTCAGAATGATTTACCTCAAAAATCATTTTTTAATACATCAAGTCCCCCTAGTATCTAAAAAGCAGAGAACTAGGCTTTTTTCTTCCCCCTCTTAATCAGCTGTGCATGTTATGAAGTTCATCTCATGAAATATACTGAGGAGCTATCACACTAGAGGCTACTTGAATTCAGTAGTGTCAACCTACCATTTGTGATCCAACTGAAATTAGCTGAAAGTTTGGCACTTGGACCTCTGTGTGCACCCTAAGAGCAATGCATTTTATCAAAGTCCTGCATGCCTGCTTTATATAACTCCCCCTTACCTCCTGCCAAGTACAATGGAGGTCTGCCTACATGGTCAACTGTTTATATATTTAGAGTGAATTGCAAACAAGTGACAGTTGGCCTGCATCTTAGCAGAAAACTTGTTCATCTTTTAAATATCATACAGAAGTGATTTATTCTCGAGAAATTTTTTTTGTAGAAATTTTGTACAAGTTTTCTGTATCTTTTTTTTTTTTTTAATACTGAAACCCTACGTTATACTATACCAAACAGCAGTATCTTTATTCATCACATCTCCAATACATACGTACTTTATTGTGGAGTCTTAAGTCAAACTTCAAAAGTCATTCAAGAAGCTAGAGATAGAGAATAGCTGCAAAAAGGGGGCAGGAGGGAAGACACAAAACCAAACAATCACACACACACTCCCACACCCCAAGGGAAAAAAAAAAAAAATCCCAAACATCACACACCATAACCTTTTAGGGCATAACCTGAAGCAGTGCAAGGAAGTATTTCAAAACGCTTGCTAGAGCAATCCAATTTCAGTACTTGAAATTATTCAGAAAAGAAGTTTTCTTCATTAATCTTGTCAGTTATGCTGTACAAGAAAAAAAAAAAACCTAGTGCTTAGCAGCAAATTTTACATGAAGACTTGTTACTGGAAGAAAATTTACTTACCTAAATTGGTATCTGCTCGGACTAGAAGCTGAGTTTTTTCATTTCCTGCTGGTTTTAAGTGTAATGTTCCTACACCTTTTTCTTTGAATTCATTATCCTTTTTGTAGAACAGCTTGCACCTGTGCCAAAAAAAAAAAAAATCATTTGTGCAGATATGCAGAAGTCAAAGATAAACATGCTGTGGGCAGCATCAATCTTTATTCTTCTTGACCTGGGTTGTGCATTAGGTATATAGAGTACTATGTTTGTCACTGCAGTACTGAAAGGAATGATTAATCTTTTTCTCAACTGAAAAGTACTATCTGTTAGCAAATGAAACAGCTACCTGAATCGGGGTCTAAAAAGAAAAATTAAGAAATAATAGCTTTAATTATCATAAGCTTCTCTTTAAAAACACTAATTTCAAAACTGCAAGAACTTACTGCATCATTATGAAGTAGTAACAAGACTACTTAAAAATTTGTGATCACTGTTTTAAGTGAAGGTCCAACAGACCTAATGTCATTCTTCAAAAATCAGCACATAACTTCTCTCAGATAAAGTAATTTTTTTTTTTTTTTGGGGGGGGGGGGGGGAGGCAAAAAAAAAAAAGACAAGTTCTGTGCTCGCTGTCAAGCATACATACAATTATTTGGACTATTAAACATGGTTTTAGAAAACTGCTTCTAGTAACATCTCACTTTGAATTGAAGAGGACAACTTGTACACTGCCTCATACAAAGATCAGTGTTTTCCAAGAGTCTTAATTCAGACTATGCAAGTGGCTGAGCACCTCACTGAATTTTCAGTGCAGTAAGTGATTTCTGTAAATTGAAACTGTGGGGATTATACTACAAAACCTGATGAAGGCAGAAATTTCTTTGTTTGTGAAACTGATCACAAATGGGACACAGACTAGCTCTCAGTGCTGCGTCCAAGACAGACTAGAATTTTAATAAGCTCCTGCAGGTACCTTTATCTGTAATTGAACTTGATACTACAAGTGGAAATTCAGATTCTACGAAGCCTCATGGTAAGTTTTAATAACAAGTTAGTCATATGTTCTAACAAGTTAGAACATATACCATATATCATTAATTTTAAGCTGCAATGGTGAAGTACTAGTCATGTGTAAATATAAATTTTATTCTGTAAGTTAGGATTCTATTCACTATTCCAAGTTTAAGTCACTTACTTCTTTGAGTAGAAAGCATCGTCCTCTTTTATTTCATTAACAATGACTTTTGGTGGCTCATCTTCCTCCTCTTCTCCTCCTTTAAATAAATTTTTAATACATCCCATATATTAATGCTGTGAGCACACAATTTGGAAGGTATTTCTGGTGTTGTATTAGAACCAATTTACGCATGCTATATTTAACATATACGTGCACAGCCTCTCAAAGACTGCAAAAATACATTTAAGTGAACTTGGGTTCTGAAGGGGAAGTAGCTTCACCTATGGGAGAAGTCTTCTATATTCTTTTTGTTCATTCACTCATGCTCATCTTCAGTTTAAACTGGATCAAAATATCAACTCCCAACAAATGCTCAAAAACAAATTAAAAACACAAAGCTTAACAAGTCAAGCTTCAGCCAAAATCTTTTGTTAAGGGGAAAACTGCTGTAACGTTTCAAAGAATAGTCTCCACAGACAGGTCTATGAAAAGCATAATAAATACCTCTAGCAGACAAGTTTAATTTGAGAGAAGGGAAATCAGTTGCAGGAATGACAGTAAGAGATAGTAGCAGGATTATGTCTTTCCACTCCCTCAACTGCTAGGGTCTCTATGGGCTAACTGTACCCAACTTAGCTAAACAGTAGTTAAAACCGTCAGGTGATAAGCAACTTTTATTGCCCCGTATAGTCTTGTCAGTAAGATCTATGAAATTGTTCCATGTTTTATGCATTTTATGGAGGGCTCTCTTGATAAACCTACTAGGAAAAGCAGCAGGACTGAAATGTCCTTCAGGCTTAAAGGTGAACATACCAGTTGTTCCACATTAAGGAGTGAGGCATGCAATCATTTGACATTAGCAGTTCTACCATAAATGGATTATCAACACAGACGAATTCTATCTAAAAATTTAGGCCTTCAACAAGTTTCCAGCCTTAAATCCAACTAAAGAATTACATTCTACTATTATAGAAAGTATTAATCCAATTGAAATTCAAAACTTTTGATAACCATATATTCTCGGTCTTGCATATTGCTTAAGTAACACTAAGAATTCCCGATCACTGGTACGTTTTTGCAGCTGTCTAATTCAAGAACAATTATGATCTAGTTGAAATTAAGAATATTGCAAAGGTGAAATAATACTAAATCCCATATAGGCCAAGCTTACCATTACAGTGATTTTTAAAACAGAATTTACCTTTATCATCACTACTGCCACTTTCTGTCTGAGCTTCCAGTATATTGGTGGACACTGCAGTGACAGACTTAGCCTGGTTTGCATCTTTTCCAAACAAACCTGAGTTTCCAGGAGAAAACGAGAAACTACTTAGTGTTCCAGAACCAAGGGAACCCAAAACAGAACTGTCGACACTCTTCCCAAAATTGAACGAGACATTTGATGCAACTCCTCCTGACGGGTCTCTTTTTTCTGATGCACCTTCAGATTTTTTGTCCGAGGCATCCTCAGTTTTGTTGCTGTTAAACAAAAACGTTGATCCTTGCTGTGGTTTTGAATTCCCAAATGTAGAAACAGACTGAGTGCCAGGTGTCTTGTTGCCTTCGTTTTCAGAGCCACTATCACTACTGCTTCCATGTTGCTGTTCAATATTTGCTAAATACTTCTCATAGTCTCTGAAGATTGGTGTCAGATCACATAGCGGGTTTGTGTTTACATGCTTAACTATCCAGTCACGCACAGAACAGTTTAAAGCTGCTAACTGTTTGTGATAAACACTAGAGCTACACATTTTACTCTGAGAATAGCCAGATGATGATGGTTGACTGCCACCATTAGCTTTTGGGCTTGCAGCTTTTTTCTCGGTGAATGCAGTAGCAGTAGGACCGTTTGACATTGCGGATCCTATTAAAAGGAAAACATGGTTTAGAACATTTTCTTCCAAAATGGCATTATTCAAGAGAAACCCATGCTCACACTTCCTCAATATTTCTGTATCAAATCATTCAGCCTTGCTCAGTTATGACCCTGTGTTGTACCACAACAATCTGTGCCCAGTAGAACAGTGTAAGTAAACAAACAATGCTGTGAAATAGATTTTTGCTGTTTAGAGGTTCAAATGCATATGGGCATTGAGTACAGCAAGAGGAAAAAAAGAAACAAAAAAACCTCCACCCCTCCCAAGAGCTCAGAACTTCAGATAATACAAGAGAATTAAGTTCAAGGGCAGGTAAAGTAGACGGAGTACACAGTTGTAGAAAAATCCAAAGAGGTCATACAGAATAACGTTAAGAAATAAAGTTCAGTATGTTACCAGAAAACCCTAAAACGTTAATCAGACAAGTTTTACTAAGATGTGAGAGTTATTAAAGCAAAGTATTCAGTTGTCTTTTGCCACTTGTATTAAAACTCTGGACATACTAGCCAATGTTTTTGAGTGGTTGGAGTGGTTTTCATATAAAAACAAAATAAATAAGCCCCTTGAGAAAGTCTTCATTAAGTACTTAAAGTTTCCCCTTTTTTATTTAAACTTACTGAAAGCTACGTAACTGTAAGTTTTAAACCATCCTTTCTACTCTATGGCATGCTGACTTGAAAACCCTGTAGTGTGGTTAACTTTTCTACATCTCCAACACAAAGCATAGTAGTAGTATTCTTCAGGGACCATCGAAGCAGGAGACTAGAGTTAGATTTGCCAAAATATTTGAAGTGCCTTAAAAATATAGACATAAGTGTAACAGATGAAATTCTAATAAGACTGGTTTGTAATATAAGTAGTACAGTGAACAAAGATTAAGATTTTAGTGATAAAATAGCATTTACCAAAAACTGGGGAAAAAAATACTGAAATAAGACCTTGGAATAATACTAATACCAAATGGAAATTTTCATTAGCATATATGTGTATGTGTGTATGTATATGTAGATATATATATATATTTGTAAGTTAAATTCAGATAGACGGGGTGATTGTTGCATTTAACTAGAATGCATTATCAGCTGTTCTGTATTATTCATATTATTCATAATTCAGACTTCCATCCCCATATGTTTGTTTTTCAGAAAGCTTTATCTCCAGTATTAGATCAAGTATGAATGCAATTTCCAGCCCTCAAACTGCATGTATTTGATAGTTTGCCTCTTCACCAGTCTAAAATCTTTTTAAGAGATGTTATAAAGAGGAATAAAGTCTCAGAACCTTAAACAGAACTACAGGATTGTTTCAGTTTGTTTCTTCACCATTCAATTAACCATATGGATTTTATGGCTGAATTTGTTGATCAACACATATATTTAAAACTTACCAAATGCCATTTGTGTTTCAGAGGTTGTCTTTAAACTGCTGAAAGAAGGAGTACTAGCGACACTACTGCTTCCGTTAGACAGCCCTTCTAAAGGCTTTATTCCTGCACCATTACCAAATCCACTGAAGCCACCTCCTGCTTTTCCAGAAGGTAATATAAAGCCTTTAAACCCTTTAAAAGCTCCTCCGCTTTCAGACTGGGGGGAGAAAAAGAAAGGCAACCAGTTACTTACATCTCCCCCACAAAAACCCTCCCATTCCCATTTGATGTTCCATTTATTTTACCCTTGTTCAGTGTGTCATTTCATGCCTTATTTCATGTGTATTATTTTAAGCTAGCTATGTAAACAGAGTTAATAGTTTCCTCCTAAGCTTTCTTATGACACACATTGCTACTATTTTTAAAGGACTCAGATGTTTGGTATGCAAACAAACTAGGTATAGGAAGTAAATACATAACTTGTTCAAAGTAGTGGATGTGTGAAGCTACCTATTTAGAGATTCATAGCATTTTGATTTCCTTAAACAGTTACAAAGCAATATGTAACTGCAGATTTATTTGCAGAAACCTTTTAGCATGTACAATCATGATTGGAGTCCAGCATTTCAAACTGCTCATCAAAACAGCATACTTTGTAATCACCTATATAAAGTTTGCTTTGGGCAACTTGCCAGAAAATCCCAGTGTGATTTATGGAAGAAGCAGAGATGAAGTGTATTTGATAATATATTACATATGGTTTCTTTAACCTCTTCATTATCTAGTTTTGATAGCTTTAAACTATCCTATAATATGGTTTGTCAGGTTAAGTGTTTTAAAAGGTGATCATCTAGCATGCATGATTAACACCCAAGCAGGCACTGGCACTTTTAGAAACTACATACAATATTTTGCCAGGTAATGAGCACTGATTACTGAAGTGGACTCTCACTGTCACTGGAGAGTCATCAAAGGAAAAGAGTTGCTTCTGAGTTTCATCTGTTTTCAGACACTGAAGAAATTGCAAAACTCGACAATTCTGGATTCTATTCTAGCATCTGGAAGGGAAACGGCCTTGTAGGTAATGGGCTCTTTTTGTTTCCCTTCATGCTTTAGCTTTTCCAGTGTCAGTCCTCTGTTTTTCATTTCTATCTAGTTATTCTAACATGCTCTCTCTAGCTCTTCTTCCAGCTTTTATCTCAAGCAGCTGACTACGAGCCTTCTGACTATTTCTTCTCATATCACCTAGTGTCTTTTCTCTGCCAGTTCCATCTTTCCCATTCCATCTGCCCCTGAATCCCTCCCATTCAGTTTGTGGTTTATTTTTGCGTGACATAGTCAGTTTCATCGGCATCTTCTTTCCAATACAGTCCTTTCATCAATTACATCCTCTACCACATCTGTGCCTAGAACTATTATGGACAAAAGTCTGACGGGACAGCTTCCTCCTTTCTATTGCTTGGACAGCAGTAGGAAAATCCAGAGCACAGGAGGAAGCTATCCTGTCCTGAACTGTGTTTAGTCCCATGCTATCCAAAAGCAGTGTGGATGACAGGTAAAATTTTCTGTCCCATTTCTAACATGGGGCATGCACTGTTGCCCTCCAAGAGTGTTTCATATAAAGGTAGCTGTGACAATGCAGTTGTCAGAGATTTTTCAAAGGACTACAATTTGATTAGATTTAGTTAACGCTTTCACACAGGCACCACACAGTAAACTTGTAACGAAGGACATCTTCCTCTCAATTTTCAGTCTGTATTGCAAAGAGTAGGTGGCACTAAAGCTCTTCCAAGGGGGGAAAAAAATAAGTAGAAGAAATCTTAACAAAAGACAACACCTTTTTCATTCTCAGAGCAACTTAGTATTTTGGCTTTTATTTATTTAACATCTGCCTGGGACATCCCCCCAGTCCCCATCCCTTCAGTATGGATAATTTCATTAACTTTTGATTTCCAGGCTTCCGTCTCTGCAAAGATTGAAACTGGAGCAGTTCAAACGCTACTTTCCCCATTTGTAGAAGAGATCATGTCTAAAACATTCTCTATTTATACTTCAAAGAACACAGATCTCTTTTGGTCCCCAAAATACTAGTATTATCCTTTTCTTATTCAAGTCTTATTCTTGCTATAGGAACAATAACTGAAAAATAATTTGCAATATATAAGAGCTGGCTTATAAATGGTAGAGCTATACAGTATTAAGTTACAAGTGCAAATAAGTAAAAAACTTGAACACAGATGTCTTATTTTACAACTAAGTCAGGCTACAACACTGTTCAGTGATTAATTACCTCTGATCCAACATTTCGGCGCTTAGCTTTTTTAATAGCTCTGTTCTTCAGCACTTCTTCACTAGCTACTGAGAAAGTTCCCACCTTTGAAAACAAGTTATGGAATCATTAGTGGAATTCTCAGAATATATAAAGTCAACATAGTCAGAAGAAATAGCAGAGATCAACTTTTAAACACAATTGTAACACTTCTCTGTAACAAAGAAGGTGAGGCAAAAAATGCAGCTATACTGTCTTCTAGTACCGTGATTAGCTGGTCAGGTATTTGGATGATTAGTTGAAACTTGACAGCTTTGACAGCTGTCTTCCCTACCTTGCATTAAATTTACCTGCACACAAGACTGCAATCTCAGTTTTATCAAGACAAATTAATTGAAAATTTCTGCTTTTTCAAACAAAGCTGTAAAAAAATCTTTGCTGAAAGGAATCTGTCAATATCGCACTGCTGCAATCAAGCTTCAGTTTAGAGAAGATATACTGAAATGTATGGTCAAAATCCATCTCCTACAGGCTGCTGTAATTAAATGTTAGCAAAGGCAGCTAAAGACCAATTACTACCCCAGAATAAATGGGGAAATTAAGTTTTCTTATATTCACATTTCTAGAAGAGTATGGACAGTTTCGTTTCTCACATTTTATAGGCTTAAACATACAACATTTTTAGTGGCACAGAAGCTAGCATAGTTTGTTTAGAGATGACACACAAGCCATAAATACATACAGGACACTAAATACGAAAGTCCGTTTTTACAACCAGATGAACCGTATCATTTCACTGTTTGCTTAATTCCTCTGGCAGTGTGGGGACATTCAACTAAGCACTCCAAATTAACATATTTTTGAAATTAACTATTACTGACCTATTTAAAAAAGCCAGGAGACATGAAGAAAATTTATTTAGACCGTATGCCAGTGAACCTTAGAGTCAACTACCTCAAGAAATCAAAAAAAACACTTTTCTTGTTAACTCAATAAATATTTTAAAGGAATTTCAACCACACATTTGAAGAGTTAAAAAGCACTGTGCATTCTAATGAGTCTGGGTTTCCCTTTAGAAATGTAAACTTCCTCTCCTCTAAGCTGCTGATGTAATTTTAAATAGTTAAAAACTGCTTTGCCATATACTTCATATACTTTGCAAATACTGGAAGCTTTTAAAAAATACACTGATTTATGTAAAGCCATCTTTAATTGCTACCCTTGTAACCAGTTTATCTTATGGCTGAAATCTATCGTAAAACACCACATATAACTAACTACCCTATTACCTTGTCTGAGGGGTAGGGGGTGGAAAAGCATGCAAGTATATTTTACCTCCTCAGCTTCATCTTCCTGATCCCAGTTTCTGTCGGTCAGTTCTTTTTCTGCAATTCTCTTTGCCATTTTTCCAAACCTGTGTGGAAAAATAATCAAAAGAGCACAGACTCAATTGTACAACAGTGAAATTCAAAGCCACAGTGATCTACAACTTGTATTATCCAGAATAAGTAATGGGAATCAGAGTTCATACAGAAAGAAGTGGGTCAAAATTAGAAAGACAGCTGAAAAATCAAGCATTTTTAACAATACTAACAACATATGTTGCAACAACAATCAACAGCATGTGAAATTGGGGAAGCTGTGCTGTTTAGTCATATTTGACACTAAATTTAAGCAACAGTAGAAGCAGGCAGTTCAATTACAGGATAAGTTTTCTTCAGCAGCAAAAGTGGCTAGAGAAATTCTTTTCAGTCCCACAGCTCATAACCTCATCACCAATTACTGGGAAGGGCTGCAAGAAAAATCAGATAAGATGATCTGGTTAAAAGACTCTATACCTCACCTCATCTTGCTTCAGGATACCTATGTAAGCAGGAATAGTCTTGCAAGAGAAATGTAATTTGCTCTATAACATCAAAAATAACGACCATGGGGACCCACTGAAGCAGCTGGGCAGAGAACTTACTTTGAGTAAGAATGAAAACAATGCTGTAATTCAAAAAACAAGATTGCTAGACTATTACTAATTAAAAAGTTGAGAGATTCCAATATAAATAAATGACGACTTTTTTTTCCAAGGGACACCCAAAGTTTATCATGGATTTTAGAGCAATTAGTTCCAGCAGCCAATCACTATTTTGCTGCTTCTCTCTGCAATGTAGAGGGGGGAAAAAACAAACCAACAAACCAACAAACCCACGGCACACCACTTTGAAGAAAGAATGCCTGTAGTACTTTTAACTTCTGACTTCCAATTTAGTAAAGTATAACTCATCAGCTGTATATGAAAACAAACACTGAATCCAGCTAGACTATTTCACATCTGAAAAACACCCAGCAAGTACTCACGCTGCTCTCAAATTCTATACCGAAAGAAGCATCTGGCTAACAGCGACTACAACATCTGACATAACCATGAAAACTTTTCAGAAAAAAGGAAGTTGTTTTTGTAAAACTTTAAAGTCACACAAGTGCAAGAATTAAAATTCCTTAAAAAAACAAAAATAAGAAAAACTCACACACTGATATAATTCAAACCTGGTCAGAAAAAACATTCCACAAATATTAATTCACAGTCAGAGCTGAAAGCGATGATAATACTTGATTTCAGAACTTATCCCATCTAGCAAATGAATTTTTAAACAGAACACTAAATATCACTGCACAACACTCTCACAGAGATCACAAGTCAAATACAGGAATTTTGGTCCAATACATTTAAAGGGAAATCAATAAGATCTTTTTGAAATACAATCCATTTCATTATCTGATAAAAGACTATTTTGTGCAAACACTTTAAAATGGCATAAATCACACCACCCTGAAAGCAGAAGTCCTACCACGCCTCTGCACGATTCTCTGCAGATTGGGGACTACTTAACTCTAACCCAGTGAAAACACTTATTTTCCAGCCAGGTTGATTCCCCAGTCTGGCTTTCCACATGGCTATACAAACACTTGCAACCAGAGAAAAACAGGATTGCTTCTACTTGCCAGTAACCACAGCTCAGAGGCTTCTGAGACTGTAGCCTAGAATTACTCCACTGGAATCCAGGGAAGATCAAATTACCACTCTAAGGACAGCCACTGAAGCATTAAAAGCATTACATTAACTAGAAAGCCTGTTCTCCACTGGTAGAAAAGACGGGTACACCAATTGGCCTGGGCTCCAGGCTCTTCACAGCTACTTGAGTTTACATGATTTTTGCACATCAGCACTAGCAACACGAGCTGACAACAGAATCTAGCATACGTGAAGACAGTAGCAAGAGATTTCTAGACAGGTTTCAAACCTGTGAAACAAGAAGTAACAGGAGAATGCGCCTCTCTGATGTTTTTTATACGCAGCACAACCCTCAAAAAGTTCTCACACAAAGGTTATAAATGGTTTGAGATGGGAGTATTTTAAGAAACATATCTTTTTATTTAACAAACAATATATAGATGCAATATAGATGAACTATCAAAATTTACCTAGTAAATACTGACTCATTTTAATGTAACTTTATGAGAAGAAGATTTATTTTTTAATGTTTGCATTCCACAATATCATTTACCTTTCATAAAGTTACAAAGCTTACACTATTGGAACATAACACCCTGAGACTAAGCAATAAAAAAGTCACTAATCTCTCAATACTTCAAGATTTAAGACATGCAGAGGAAGACGCACATTTAATACTGCATAAACTCTTTTTCATCCTTACTTTTGCTATAAAGTAGGAAGTGTTGTCTATTATACTTCGTGACACGTAAAAGCACCGGAAGTCATACTGGCGCATGGTAGCAAATCCATGTTTCTCATTTCCTGAGAAAGTGTCCTATTTCAATGTAGGTTCTTTCTGGTTTAATATACAAAGCCCCCCTTGCTTCCTTTTCAAAAGCCTAACAGTTTAATATAACAATTTAAGTTCCTCCCTCCCACTCCACGCACGGCCTATACAAACAGCAGATTATATTCCCGTCTCTGCCAGTGTAGCTCGTCAAAATGCAGCAACTCAACACTTTAAAAATCGCGAACCAGGCCCTATGCAACCGTGAGAAATAGAGGATAAGCTAAGAACGCGGCGTTATTCCCGTCTGCAACCCAAATTTTGTTTTCATCCCGTCGGTGACATTTTCAGCCTGCTCATCGTGCCTTCTCCCCCCCGTTTGAAGCTCGGGCGCTAAGGGAAAGCCCGCGGCGCCTACCCGCCCGCATCCGAGGCGGGGGGGCCTGGAGAGCCGCCCCG